AGTATATTATATCATCCTTGACGAATGGTTGCCTATTGAGACAGTTAATCGATATTCATCTTCGTCCCGTGGGTCCGAAAGTTGTCCAATGTCGTTGTATTGAGACAGTTAATCGATATTCATCTTCGTCCCGTGGGTCCGAAAGTTGTCCATCCCAATGTCGTTGTTTCGGAGGGCCAAGACGTTCCATAAACCACTAGGCTCCCGGAGTTTTAGCGCCTATCAAGCTGGAGACGTCGTTTCGTGCGGTATGTACATCCACAAGATGTTTTCATTAGGGAAACTACTCACAAGGTTGCTGAAAACTCTTCGACAGCCCAGACCGGCATCGTCCTTCTTGAGGCTTATCAGGTAGGCGCAGTCCCCGAGTTTCCGTTAACCTTATGTTCTTCTTGGGCCCTCAAGATGTGTTCACCACCCGATCATCCGGAACGGAAGCCTTGGTAATGGGAGGCGACCCAATGGTGTAAGCACGATCGACTGTGACAAGATAGCCGTGAAGCAAAGATTGTATAACAAAACTCACGGCCATGGTATTCTTAATCTCGGTGCCATTCGCCGATGATGCTTTTACACACACCTATTCTTATTCGCTTTGCCGTATCAACCGACACTGGGGTGGAATCGGACCCGTTGTCCAAGAGAGCGTGGCTTTACACAATGAGTGTCTCTGGATCCCACTAACCGAACCGCGATGAACAAGATGGCCAAAGCGGTTAGAGCGCGAATTTACTGCCCGCACGGTCCGTGGTTCGAACCCGACCACTGCCTTCCGACTTCCCCTGTCTAGACTTGGGCAATCTGGCAGTATCCCAGCCCTCGTGCTCTCTTCGGGTGGTATGACAGTTAGGCACCGAAAACGTTCTACAGCTGAAAGGTTATTTTTCCGCTCGGAGACATATGATATTCGTCCAGTTGACGTTAGCACCTGTCATACTCTTCACCATCCATGGTGTGCTGGGTAACAATCGCCACTATCGTTGGTGAGAAGGCGCAACATTCAGAACTTCACTTGTTAGGTTCAAGTAATTAAAATAGAATTAAAAGTCCTTCAAGCTGATGGAGGCTGGAAAACATTTCACTGTTTGAAATATGAAGACAAAGGGTGCTCGTTTCCGTAGGTATGGATACTACAACCATGGTCTGTCCCTTTGGTTAGCCCATCTTACAAGGTTAGTGACAATGCAATGAGGTTTCAGCCTTAGCATCCCTTCCGTGCATTGCTCGCATGCCACCCGGAAGAAGCACAAGAACTGTCGAATTGCCCAAACCTAGACAGGAGCAGTCAAGCTGCAGAGGTCGGGTTCGAACCACTGACCTTGCTGTAGGTAAGCACGTGCTTAAATCAGTGAGTTATCTTCCGAGCAATAAGTTCGTAACAAATCGAGGCAATAGAGGCACATTTCTAAAAGAATTATACAAGATAGTTAAATTCGGGCTCTGATCCTGAAGGCGATACATCAGCATCCGCTCCATCCCGCTTTTTGTTGCAAATGCCGTTTGCTTGGGATCCGTTGAACAGTTCATGTCTGACGTGCAGGGCCTCCCGATCAATCCTAGTAATGTCTCCAGATACATTGTATTCTCCAACCAGCAATTAATTCCTTCATGAAAGGCTGTGCTATATCGTGTCCTGGCAGACTGCGTCAAGAGGATTCCCACGATCCTTTGATAGTCTGCTTTATCACGAAGAAAGAAGCAGTGCTCGATGGCACCTTTCGCTTCTCCATAGCAATAGTCTAAGAGGTACATCAACTTGTTGCTGTCGGCTACACTTAGCTGATATACTTTTATAAATTTCCAAAAAATTTCACCGGATTACCGTCAGGTATATCTACTTCTACTTTCGAGGGCTACTGGCGCACACTGAAACAGGTAGTAGCCAACGGACCACGTCGGTTTCGTTTGCGGCGGTGCGAAACCCGTCGACAGGATCTTAAGCCGACCCATGGTAGCCCGTGGAAATTTCGTTTGTCCTCGATTGGATTTCACAATAAACGTTTCGACGTTCTGCTGACCAGATGGAAACCAACGTTCAGAACCGCCCGTAGTTGATGCTTCATCCACATGGACTCGCAGTGCAACAACACATATTTTTGCTACACCAACCTCGATTCTCTTATCTCTAACCTGTCTATCTCCATCACAAGCTTTTGTTCATTTTCTAACTTGATGGTAAGCGAACTCTATAGTAACAGCCACCACTGGCTTAGGGAAAGCTGAGTAACCTGAATATTGCATTCAACAAAACTATTAGAAGAATCGTTCACCAAATTGCTAAGTTCTTCTTTGAGAAGTTCCAAAACCCAATATCTCCAGTTTGTCCAGCATCTCGGCCCTCGTGCTTCCATCGGGTGACATGGCATCCAATCCCGAAGGTCTTATCTCTAACCCATCTCCATCACAAGCTTTTGTTCATTTTCTAACTTGATGGTAAGCGAACTCTATAGTAACAGCCACCACTGGCTTAGGGAAAGCTGAGTAACCTGAATATTGCATTCAACAAAACTATTAGAAGAATCGTTCACCAAATTGCTAAGTTCTTCTTTGAGAAGTTCCAAAACCCAATATCTCCAGTTTGTCCAGCATCTCGGCCCTCGTGCTTCCATCGGGTGACATGGCATCCAGATCCCGAAGGATTGTTACAGTTGAACTCTTATTTATTCAGCACTACCATGCAGCTGGTGTCACTCCCTCAAGATTAAACGTCCTTCCGGAGGAAGAAAGCCACGTCCAACCATTCACGTTGTCAACAATCGATTTGAGGAACGTCTAACTCCATAATTTGTTGACAGGGCTTAGTTTCTGCACCTGTTCCGCCTTACACTGGTTAAATTTGCGCCTCCGCAGTATTGTTCTGGCAGCGTGCTAAATGTGGAGTAGTGATGCACCGCCCACATTAAACACTGCACGAAATATCACACAGCCAGCCAACAGTCCGGTGTCTTCCACAGTATTTTGTGATTTCAGATGATTTGGTGATATAAGATATTCTAGCGACTGTTCTTCAATGGAACCTTTAGCACTGCTGTTTTCATGACACTCCGTTGAAGCATGCGTAAAGTCACAGGAATCTGTGGAGCTCTCCAACAAACCCATCCGGATCGTCGGAGGACAAGCAATTCACACCCCGAGACAACAAAGCGGATGGAGCGAATCTCGCCACTGACTTATACCAGGTCCAAATGGTTGCGTTACGTTGCTCTGTCGTCGTTCAGCTGTAGCACTCTTCCAGTGCCTAACTGCCATGCCACCCGAAGGAAGCACGAGGACTGGGATACTGCCAGGTTGCCAAAGCCTAGACAGTGGAAGTCGAGAGGCAGAGGTTGGGTTCGAACCACGGACCTTCCAGTCAGTAAATTCGCGCTTTAACCATCTCTCCATCTCGTTGGTACGTAACCTACTGCCCAAAGACCACAGATAATCGAAGATGTTCATTGTATGTGATCGATTAACCATTGTATTTTGGTCTACGGCAGCCGGTCATAAGGTAGGTTAAATGGGAGTCGTGCATCGTTTGCCGGAAACTTTTGAACTCTTTCGGGATGCCGGTCGTAATCTGAGAAGAACAACTGACAGTTCTGGTTGGAAGTAGTCAGTACACGAATCCATGCGGCAAAATCTGTCGAGTTAGCCTTTCACTAGTGGGCAATTCGTTTAACACCAAAAAGTGGATTGTGTCAGTTCAATGATGCCAATATCTGAGTTGTGTTTTTGCAACTAGTCGGTAGCTGAAGTGTCTTGCCACCGTTACGTCAAAAACGTGCTGAAATGCGGCAGATGAAATGTTAATCGATCGGCCAGTTCGATGAGTGATGAGAACTCATGCCCCTAAAGTACAGACGCGTTTAGGACCTTTGACGTAAGCAGGTCTTGGCTG